GTTGGGCTGTCCTGGCTGACACGCCTCTTCAATGTCGCATGGGGGTCAGGATCAGTGCCCATGGAATGGCAGACCGGGGTGGTGGTTCCCATCTTCAAAAAGGGGGACCGGAGAGTGTGCTCGAATTACCGGGGTATCACACTACTCAGCCTCCCGGGGAAGGCTTATGCCAGGGTGCTGGAAAGGAGGCTCCGACCGCTTGTCGAACCTCAGATTCAAGAGGAGCAGTGCGGATTCCGTCCCGGCCGTGGAACAGTGGACCAGCTCTTTACCCTCGCAAGACTACTGGAGGGGTTCTGGGAGTTTGCCCAACCAGTCTACATGTGCTTTGTGGACTTGGAGAAGGCTTTCGACCGGGTCCCTCGGGGGGTCTTGTGGGGGGTGCTGCGGGAGTATGGGGTGCCGGACCCGTTACAACGGGCGATCCGGTCTCTGTACGACTGCAGTAGGAGCTGTGTCCGCATTCTCGGCAATAAGTCAGACACGTTCCCGGTGGGTGTTGGCCTCCGCCAGGGCTGCCCTTTGTCACCGGTCCTGTTCGTGATTTTCATGGACAGGATATCTAGGCGCAGCCTGGGGGCGGAGAACGTCAGTCTCGGGGGTCTCGGGATCGCCTCTCTGCTATTTGCAGATGATGTGGTCCTGTTAGCCTCCTCGGATCGTGACCTCCAGCATTCACTGGGGCGGTTTGCAGCCGAGTGTGAAGCGGCGGGGATGAGAGTTAGCATCTCCAAATCTGAGGCCATGGTTCTCTGCCGGAAACCGGTGGATTGCTCCCTCCAGGTGGGGACGGAGTGCCTACCTCAAGCGAAGGAGTTCAAGTATCTCGGGGTCTTGTTCACGAGTGAGGGTAAGATGGAGCGGGAGATCGACAGACGGATCGGTGCAGCTGCAGCAGTAAAGCAGGCGCTGCACCGGACCGTCTTGGTGAAGAGGGAGCTGAGCCGGAAGGCAAAGCTCTCAATTTACCACTCGGTCTACGTTCCTACCCTCACCTATGGTCGCGAACTCTGGGTCATGACCGAAAGGACAAGCGGCCGAAATGAGTTTCCTCCGTAGGGTGGCCGGGCTCAGCCTTAGAGATAGGGTAAGGAGCTCGGTCATCAGGAGGGAGCTTGGAGTAGAGCCGCTACTCCTTCGCGTCAAAAGGAGTCAGCTGAGGTGGTTCGGGCATCTAATTAGGATGCCTCCTGGACGCCTCCCACTGGAGGTTTTCCAGGCACGTCCAACTGGGAAGAGACCCCGGGGAAGACCCAGAACACGCTGGAGAGATTACATCTCCCAGCTGGCCTGGGAACGCCTCGGGATCCCCCAGAATGAGCTGGAACATGTTGCCGGTGAAAGGGAGGTCTGGGTCGGCCTGCTTGACCTGCTGCCACCGCGACCGATCCCGGATAAGCGGAGGAAAATGGATGGATGGATGGAATATATATATATTGTATCGGGCCCGACTGTATTATGTGTATTGGAGAGATGGATTTGCTATGGCACAAAGATTAAAAAGGCAGGTAGATATCCTCTTTGTGCAAATTAAATACTGTTTCATTAGGTGCATTGTCATCCAAAGGCTCAACAGGTTCAGTTAATGGTACAATTACAAAAACGTTTCAGTGGAGATAAAGATGAAAATTCCTTTTTAACCCTTTTACTTTCACATTTAGATCACATCCTCGTTCATATTGTGCACCTTTAGAACAATGTATCCAAAAAAGAAAAAAAATCTTCATATTTTTATATCAAAATCGAATCATCTTTTCCTCCAGTGAAACTAAATCAGACGTATGCTTACTTAAGCTAATACCAACCAATTAAACAGATATCGTGAAAACATTTGACAAAGGAGGTGATGTAGACCCACAGTCCACTGTAGGTCCGTACTGCCTTCAACTATAAGCCTGCCCACTTTAGCGGTCCAATCAAACGCAAAGGATTTGACTTGAATCCGTCTTGTAACTGTACACTGCTCAAACACTGGGGAATGTGGCACAGTACAGAAGCTAAAGACACTCCAACTCTAGTGTCACTGGGACTTTAACAATAGTCAGTTAATCCAGGTAGAAAAAGCATCAATATACAGATGAAGATGTAAAGATAGACAGTACATTGCTACTCAGCGAACTTCAATACAGCAATAGGACTCAGGAAATAAAAGGAATTGACAATAAAACAAATGTACACAGCATAATTTAATTTCCAAAAAGTAGACACTTGGATACAAGATTCAAATCAAGACCTGTGTTCTGCAGTCATCTAGATTGAAGTTTTACTACAATTCCACATTGTTTATATCTGTAGCAGTTTAGTTTGGAACGAACTTTCCCAACAACGAGGTACGTGTACTTCCTAACATACTTGAAATCCACGACAGAGAAGCCTTGGCTTGTGTTAATTCTATGACTATAGAAATAGAATGAGAGTAGAACGGACATTCAAGTGTTTGCTGTGGTCGTTTGACAAGCTCTACAGAAAAGCCCTGTACTTTGAACATAGAGTTAGCCCGCTACAACGGTGACAGTACCTCGCAATGGTAAAGGTACACATTAAAATGGCCGCCGCTGTGACCATCCTGCTGTTGATTTGAATGACAATGTCCATACTACTCTCATTCTTGTTCTATGGAGCTGACATGAAGCCTGATTAACTGTAATGCAGCCTGGATCACAACCAATGTATGCATTTAGAACAAGTCCATCTCGCTCTGTCTCATGTCCAGTCTGTTGGACTGGATGTTCACATGCAGCTCCCTGACAAAAACAAAAAGAAAGACAAGAAAGAACAAAAACAAGACTTCAATCCGTCAGGTCTTCCACCTTCATCCCTAAGCTGCTGTATGAGGTGCTGTAGTTTCCACAACATTTCAAATGGTAGCAGTGAAGACATAAAGGACCTGCCTGCCCCCCTACACAGCAACACCCACTGAAACCCACCAACTGGTATGGATTTGATGGGCTTTTACAGTTATATTTTTGATTTTATGTGCAGAGTATCTCTCATACTGTGACCATTCATCCCACAGGACACAATAGTTTTACAGCAGTCTTATTTGCTGTATAAGGAAATACAATAGTACAGAGACAACTGAATGGGTTAAAAAAGCGATTGGAGTGAAAGCACCCCTCAGGTGTAACATAGACCTTTAACTCTCTAAGCTGACCAATCCATCTGCATACTGGAACTGCTCACTGTTTTCGTACTCCAGCATATCTAGCGCGACCTCGCAGCTCTCCTTGACGATACGTTCTCCGTCTCCAAGATGTTGTTGCAGCACAGCCAGACACTTCTCTTTGCCGATGGACCCAAGAGCCTCTGCCGCCTCGTGTCGGACCATAGGGTTCTCACTAGAACACTCCAGAGCTGCACACAGGGCTGGGACCGATGCCGGATGCTGCATCTGACCCAGGACATAGCCGATCTCATGGCGGAACAGAGCACTGGAGCACTGCAGGCCTGGAGACAAACATGTTAAAAAAGAGACTGCATGACATATAGGTTTTTCCAATGCCATCATCATTCCAGCATTTTTTCAGAGTGTACACAGAAAAATCACATATATCAGACCAGAACATTCCCTTCCTCTAAAGCTTTATTTTTACATGGTTTGAGCTGACTTTACAGTAAATATCTTTGTTATTACTTTGCACCTGCTTGTAGGGGTGGGACAGTTCACAAAAGTCTCTGTTCAATAAAAAAAAAAGCTAGCTTTGTGTAGTCCGTTACGTGGTGGAGTGGATTCTTGGATGCATCGCGATTCTCTCATGAACAATTATGACTTGATGCAGAAAACTCAAATCAAAATTTTCAAACTCAATTCTCAACATTATGATCGCCTGTAACAATACTGTGACGCCAGGCTGTCCATTCCTTCGAGCTGCCCCTGAACGCAACAGACGTAACACACGCGTGTCTTGTTTCAGCGACACAGCGATACTCTACAACCAAACCAAAGCTAAAGTCATTGAGTCACTGAGGATAGAAGTAAAACGTTACACGTGACATCCGTTGCCACATAATATTGTGTCACCGTACCTGTGCACGTTCTCTGTATATAGTTTAACCACGTTTTAGAAAGTGTTATTTTTGTAAGAAAGCTGAATGCTCATTGCCTGTAACAAGGGGATTTGTTTGAAGAGAAGTCTATGTTATATATTTGTGAATAAGGGCAGCTTGTTATGTCAAGTGACTCAGAACATGCAGAAGTCTATGTTTGTACTACAAGGATGCTGCTACAGGCCCAATATCATTCATCTTCTTGTTGCTTCTCTTTGCAATGTTAGAAATGTAACACTCCAGTTGACACATCTCTTCTATTTGTTACTAATATTGATTGATATTATGAATCATTACAAATATGCAGTGTTTTTAAAATAGCAGATTCTTATAGTGAGAAAAAGAATCATGTATCGAAATATGTTAATGCATGAAGAAGACGTATTATAATGGCATCGTAGTCCTCCGAATGGAATCATGAGGTGCCGAGAGATTCCCACCCTACTCTCCAGTAAGTTACCTTCCACATCCTTTCTGTAATGACTTTAATTAGCCGATCATACACTGAAATGTGAGTTCCTTGAAGTGGTGACAGGATAAACTGTCAGTCGTGAACAAACTACAATGCAGTGCAAACTACCCACTCATATTAAAACAGTTTCACAGACTGATGATGTTTCAACTCAAGCTTAAAACCGAGGTTGACATGAAAATGACCAGAAGTAAACAGTTGTGATGTTGTACACATTGATGCTTGAATGAAACAGTAAACTGTCTCCTACCGTCTCCCAGTACCAGCACAGCCTTCTCGCTGCCCAGGTTACGCAGGGCAAACATTGCACGGTAACGTTCAAAGAGCGGCAGACTCTCATCCAGAAGGACTGAGCGAAGCTCCGACACGCTCTTCCTCACAGCTGGAGGGGCGGGGTCTACAGAGTGGTAGGGGTTCTCATCTGTACTTCCGTCGTCCAACTGCTTCTCTCCTCTAATCTGCAGCCAGTCAAACCGACGGACAGCCAGCTGACACGTCTCTGCAACCTGCAGGGCGGGGGGGCAGATAGAAATACTAAGCTGTGTTTGCACATTTCAGACATGTGTTTTTGTTGACACAGAGAACCAAGACTGAAGCGAAGCTCAAAGAATCATTTCAACTGCTCTGACGTCAGTGTAAACATCAAAGACTCTTAATGTTATGTTTGTAGTTCTAGGGTTAGGATCAGAAAAATAAAAGATTGTATTTTTTGATTAAAAAAAGAATCTTGGAATTAGCAGTTTTAATTACAACAGAACTCTGCTGTGAAGTTCACAGATGACATTACTATCATATTACAAACAATGAGACTTCATATAGAGAGGAAATCAACAACCGTGCAGAGTGGAGCTCAGAGAACAACCTGCTGCTCAACGTCAGGAAAACCAAGGAGCTGATTGTTGATTTTAGAAAAGAGGAGGAGAAGACTCACACCCCTGTCTACATCAATGGAGCAAGTTAGCAGCTTTAAGTTCCTGGTAATCAGCATCACAAGCAACCTGACGTGGTCCTCACACATCTCCATCCTGGTGAAGAAAGCTCATAAACAGCTTTTAACAGAGGAGCAATAGAAAGCATCCCGACTGCAAACATTACAAACTGTTATGGGATGTTTAAGGCACAGGACAAGAGGGCTCTACAGCGGGGGATTAAAACCAGAACATCACTGGTACCATCTACTGAGCATCAGTGATGTAGATGAGAAGAGGAGCCTGAGAAGAGCTAAAGGGATAATAAAAGACAAAAGCCACCCAGCCTCAACCTGCTCACCTGCTGCCGTCTGGAGAGAGATACAGAAGAATCAGCTGCTGAACCAGCAGACCTCAGAACAGCTTCATTCCTCTGGCTGTGAGACTCCACCCTCCAGATAGAATATAGTTCTCTTTCCTATGTAGCAAATTGTGTCGTACAATGACGAGTAGAAACCTTGTGACCATGCTTATAGCTGCTTGGAGCTAGTGTTCAACGGGTCATAATTATCTCTCTACTATCGATTTCAAACTGCTGTGAAAGCATCTTCAACAGTCTTCATTCAAGTGTCTCGCCAAAAATTATATTTTACAAGATTACATTTCAATACATCATGATAACGCTGTATTGTACCTTCACCAACACTAATTTTTACTGAACAGAGCATGAACGCATCATAATGTAATTGACTGGAAGCTCCGTCAATGTTAGCGGTGAACAGTGGTGCTGCCAAGCTTAGCCGCTCTCCTGCTGATTTCAACTCAGATTTGTTGTTCACAGTGTAGCATTATCAGGGATCCGTGATTAAAAGGCATTAATGGTGATCTCCTGATCACATACGTTTACCGAGTAATGGCCGATAACACCCGGCAGTTCAACTTTCTTTCACAATTAAACTGTGTAATTAATCTGAGGTTCACATATGTGCAACGAGGGATCACCAATCTGTTACACCACTGCTAATGGTATAATCACTCTTCTGCCCTTATTAATTATCTAGAGTTCTCAAACCACAGCACGTAGAGACACCACACCTGACAGCCAAGTAAGCAATCTCACTCAGACATCAAAAAACAATCAACTGACCCCAGAGTAGTACTAAAGCAGACTCTGTTACATAGTCTATAAGTTACAAATCGCATGGCAACATTTTTTTTCCTCTATTGGATGATTACACACTTTCTGGTGCAGGCCACAGACACGTAGTTTCCATCAAGGTTTTTTTTGCATAGAGAATTGACCCGTGGCTGAACCTGCCCCCAACGCTGTCAGAGCTACCATCAAGCCCACACTGTCACTTATTGCTCCCTGAAGAACCATTTCATCTTAGGAAAAAAAGACATTTCGAAGAGAAGCGCACATGGACGAAGTGCCCCTTTAACTGAACAAATGCATACTGACTGTTCTAAAATAACCTCAATATATTCTGTACTAAAACCAGAGCGTGCCGACTTGTCTTTGTGGGAGGTAAATCCACTTCTTCAAGTGCTTCATAGATGGGTGTGGGCTCTGCACAGTCCCCTTACGTACAACGTAGATGGTCTGGATCAATGTTAGCAGGGTTGCTTTCAAAGCTGCCAAAAAGGGGTTTCTTCCTAATGCATCCCTGTTAATGACGGTTTGAAAGTTCTTTCACTGATTTGTCCACATGAATGTACTCTTGTGTGAGAAGTTATTGCATGTGCATTACAACCACATCTGCCTGCCCTGGATATTTGTTGGACAAGGTCCTCTGCATCTTCTGGGGCACCAAACATGACAACATGAGAAATATTTGGAAAGTTCAAACCCATCCCAAAAGAAGTTGTGGCAACAACCACTCTACCGTTTCCATTCAAAGAGGTACAAGTCATTTCTTACTACTTTGAAAAAATCTTCATGTCTTCCAAAGCCCTGTAGGAATGTTGGATCTCCTTCCTTACCCTAACCCTTTAGCAATGTAAAACAAGCAGGAGGAAGATAAATAAGGATATCAAGTGACAGATAAAGTTATTGTACACCGAGTGGTCTTGTCAGGGGTGGAGGAAGTATATAAAATGCACCCTGTGACTGTTAAACCGTTATATGATGATGTATTAGGGACAGATAAAGTTCACATAGACAAACTGTGATAGTTGTTTTTCAGTGTTTATAACACCCTTATTGAATGATTATTACTATTCAGGCATTACTGTAGAAGCAGCACTTTGCTGAGGTGGAGCTCATTTTGAACTATTAAATAATCATTTCTTTCCATTATTGATTAATGTGCAGATTATTTTCTCAATTAATGGATTGATTGTTTGGTTTGAAGTGAAAATGCTGTCACAATCAGTCCTCTGGTTTACCTTTTGTTTTGCCGTGCTTAACATCACAGCCCTATGAATTGTGGGTACCTCTCTCAGGCAAAGTCTCCAGAAATGCAGACTTATGGAAAGTGTGCATAAAGGGCTAAAAAAACAAAGCGTTCAGCACCAACAAATATGTTTGCTTCCATAAGTGTGCCTCAGAGTGTTTCTGGGAACTCAATTGTGTTTTCATTTACTTCTACTACATTTAATCAATACTGTCATAGTATACAGAATAAAAAAGGGACACAAGTTTAAATGAATCCAGCTTCACAAATATCAGCCAGGATTCTCGTCTTCTTTGCATATTGACTTCATGCAGTTGATGAGGATGTGATCACGTGCCTGCCTGGTACCACTGCCTCGCTAGCTTGTGTTCCTACCTCTATGACAGGATCCTGACTGTACTCTTTCAGTAGGTCCAGAACCACAGGATCACCAATCGCTCCCAGAGCCTCCCCTACAGCAAGACACAGAGTCAGAGCGTCAAACGGGAACACATACTGTTGCTTCTAGTTCTCAAACATAAGGATTTGTATCCTGTGCATCACTGAGGAGTAAATACATGATTTATACAACGAGATGCTGTTACACACATGTTCTACATACTGATTGTTTTCTTCTGTCTGGCTTGCGTCAGGAAGGTCATTTAAAGGTGTGTAGGGGGTCAGCAATTTATTTATTTTTTAATTAAAAAGCACATTTTATTACATTAAAAGTAAATAACCCAAGTCCACACTTTGTTAGAATAGCACGACAGTCCACTGTTGGTAATGTAGGCGTGTGTATGTACATGCATGTGTGAGCCTGAGCTGTGTGAACGCACAGGTAAGGAGTGTAGTAGTATCTATAGAATCCTGATGATACCCATCCATCACCATGCTAACAGCTCTTTGAATAAATAACAGCCCGTTTGTGCGTTGTGTGAAGAATCACAAGCATGCACATATGTGGGTTAATAGAAAACGAGGCAAATGAAAGGACTCGTGTGTGTCTGGTAGGGGTATTGCAAAAGGCACAAGAATGCACAAGCATGTGTACCTTTAGTGCCGCACAAACATGTGTTTGGCAGTTCATGAGTGCAAGCATGCTTACCTGCTTCATGCCTGACCATGGGCTCTTGCTGTGTATCTTTGAGAACAGCTGTTAAAGTGGGTATGGCCCGTCTGTCCTGCATCTGTCCGAGGCAGTAAGCCAGCTCATGCTTCAGCAGGGCAGACTCGTCCGTGAAGGCTTTACTGATCCATTCTATAGCTTCAGCACCTGACCCATGTTAAAGCATAAAGCAGTTCACATACATGAACACAGAGTTCCTCTTCAATAGATGCATTATATGTACACAGTGCCCCCTTCCTGGTTTCTTATTGTTTTGCATATTTGTCACACTGAAATGTTTCAGATCAAACTCATTTTAATATTAGACGAAGATAACCAGAGTAAATACTAAATGCAGTTTTTAAATGATGATTCCATGTATAATATTGTACCCCTAACCCATAGTATCCATTTCACAGAGTGAGACCATTGTGTGGAACTCAACAGAAGGGCTCGCCAGCCAAATGACTAAACAGTCAATTCTTCTTTTAATCTGTGGAATAAACTTCTGAGACAAACATCTGCATCTCAAAACAATCCTCATTCAACACAATTGGCGACTGTGGTTAAGTGGAGAGCAAGGCCGTCCTTCAATCAGAGGATCGGCGGTTCGATCCCCGGCTTCGGCTCCGCTAGTCGCATGTCGATGTGTCCTCGAGCAAGACACTTAACCCCAAAAATGCTCCCGTAGCGGTGTATAGAATCTGAATTGGAAGTCCCTTTGGATAAAAGCGTCTGCTATATGACTGTAATGTGATTTCATACTAAATGTTGGAGGTCTTACCTCCCAGGTTCTTCAAGGTGAATAAGGCTCTGAACCGCCGGGTCAGGTCTAGTCCTGGGTCCGTCAGAACCTGTCCTACTGCTGCCATCTGTTCCCCACTGCTGCTCATCCTGCTCCACAGAGACACACGGTCTGTGCAGTTGGGGGCAGAACCAAAACATGCGAGTAAGATCTGCTGGCGAGTTGTGACATCTATTGCAGTTATCCTTTACATTGGAGTACATTTTTGAAAGTTTAAAGTTCGAGTACTGCAGGCGATGCAGTACCTTGAATTGTAGTACATTTAACCGTGCACACGAAGAGCTGTTATTGACTCCAATTAGGGCCTGGTTCCAAAATGAGTCTGGTATTTTCATGGCAAGTTCTTTTTCCCAGTCTACTTTGATTTTGACAATGTTAGTCACAGTAATTGAGTTAATGGTTTGATGGTTTATTCGGGATATAAATCCTTTTTCCTCTGGTGGTGTGTTCAGAATTTCCTCATACACAGAGTCTAGTGGTGGACTCGGAAAATTGGGGTTGTTAGATTTAGCAAAATTTCACACTTGAAGTAGCGAAACAGATGGGAGTGAGGGATATTATATTTCTTAAATATATCCTCAGAGCTTCCGAACACCCCACCAATGTATAACTGACCCATGTTGAAAATGCCATTGTTAAGCCATAGCGAGAATGCATATTCCAGTCTGGCTGGAGGGAAGAGGTGATCATGAATAGGAGTTACAGTAGATAGATCTTTGAAGCCAAATTGTGCGCGAAACTGCGCCAGAATTTTTAATGTTGCAATTACTATCGGGTTGGATGAATATTTTCTTGGGGAGAATGGTAGTCTAGAGGTTACCAATGCTAGAAGAGAAGATGATGGGCAAGATTTAGCTTCATTTAGACACCAGCTTACTTGAGGGAGTTTGATCCAGTATATTATTTTCTGTACATTTGCTACCCAGTAGTAATATCTGACATTGGGAAGAGAAAGTCCACCTTGAGATCGATGTCTTTGTAGCATCACTTTACTTATCCGCGGTTGTTTATTATCCCATAGGAAGCCTGTAATATGCTTATCTAAGGTAGTAAAAAAAGAGTTTCGGCAGGAACACTGGCAGACATTGAAACAGATATAAGAAGCGTGGTAGAACAATCATCTTGACAGAATTAACTCTGCCTGTTAATGAAGTATAGATGTTTTTCCATCTGTCAAAGTCTGTCTTCATTTTGGTGATTAGTGGAGAAAAATTCCTATTATATAAACTCTCAAATTTACGGGTGATATAGATGCCAAGATATTTGAATTCAGACTCACACTTGTGGAAAGGCAGTTGCATTCCTGGAGTCTTTATTGCCAAATTGTTTAAAGGGAAGCATTCACTTTTGGAGAAATTTAATTTATATCCTGAGAATGTCCCAAATTGCTTCAGGATTTCAATTAGTGCGGGGACAGATTCTACCGGGTCCGAAATATAAACTAATAAATCATCAGCATATAGCGAGACTGTGCTCAGTGCTCCATCTGTGAATTCCTTTAATGTTAGGGGATGCTTTAAGAGCAATGGATAATGGTTCGATAGCTAAGGCAAATAATAAGGGACTTAACGGGCAGCCTTGGCGGGTACCTCGGTATAAATTGAAATATTCTGAGTTTGATCTATTGGTGACGACAGAGGCGCTAGTTGAGGAGTAGAGGAGTTTTACCCATGCCACAAAT